AAGCCAATAAAATAATAAATGATTATGATAAAAGGTATGAAGAGAAGAAACGGGGTGAGAGAGACTGATGCAGTGGGTGGGTTGGAGACTACTTTAGATAGGGTGGTCAGGGTGGGTGCTGAGGCGGTGCTGGAAGTTCTTGTGATAACTGAACTAGGTAATATAGGTACAGTGCTTAGTAAATGGGCAATAAATATTAGCCATTATTACTTACTGACCCATTCATTCACCCCACATTTTTTTGAAGGCTAGTTGTTACACCCATTTGTATAGACACTGGTGATCTCCATCTTGAGTGCAAAAGTATCAGGGCTCCCTCAAACGCATTAGCATTTTTAGCTTTGACTTTCAGATAAGTAAGCCAAATAAATCTATACCCAAAGTGGGGACGAATTCTGTTTTCGTCTCAAACACTCCACCAAAGGTAAGTGTCTCAGAGGCTCTGCTAATGCATTGTATTATTTTCCCTTTGGTCTTATCTGAAGCACAGATGTCTCCACATTGCTTCCCTCCCAGTCCCTTTCAGACGGTTTTGATTATGCAGTTGCCCCGAGGTGGCCTCTTGTCTCTGAATGTGGATGGAGCTGACAGGTCTTTTGGGGGAAACTGCAAAGACAGCCTCTATTTTGAATAGGACATACCTCTGTGCCTACGTCTTCCTAATTTACAGGCACCTCAGACTCTTGGATCTCTGTCCTCAAAGGACCATTTTATGGTCCATTGGCTTATTGTGGAAGCATTCCTGGGAAATTCTGGACCACAGGCCCTGGAATCCTAATTAAGTCAGACAAGTGCAATGAAGACCAAAAGGGACTGGTGGATATCTTTAGGGAACAAAACCCAGCTTCCCCGCAAGAAGGGAATGACGTGGCCCTTGAATGGGAGCCTAGAGTTCCTATAAGATTGCGTGAGAACTGACATTTGAGTAACCAGACCCCCTCCCCCAGCACCCTCAGGATTGGCTCCTGCTTTGAGGTGCAGCCTCTCCTGACGTCACCCCAAAGGCTTATGTTGTCAACACTGAGACTAGGACACTTGGGGTGACGTTGTGCTAACAGATTAGTTCTCTTAGATAATTGCTTGTGTCTGACCCTGGGCTTCATCTCATGGACCCCAATTCCTCCTTGATTGGCATTTGGCACATGTTGCTTATCTTGGACTTTTGGGAAGTGGCTCAGAAGCTGTGTCTTGTATACATTGTCTTTGGAGTTTATTAAAAAATTACTCGTCCCCATGAAATGGTTTGTTTCACTTCAATACACATTTGCTGAGATTCTTCTCAGTGCCAAGCCCCACGCTACAGCAGTGAAAGATGTCCCCACCCAGCAGATGTCCCTGATGACAAGAGGGAATTGAGGATGAGCCATGGTCACAGTGGCCTAGCCTGAGGCAGAGTGGGGTGAGGATGCATCAAGGATGTCTTCTTGCAGGACTTGGTATCCTTATTGGGATGAATAGTGCCTCTCCCAAATTCATGTCTACACAGAACCTCAGAATGTGACCGTAATTACAAACAGGCTCTTTGCAGATATGATAAGGTAAGGATCAAGATGAGATCACACTGGACAAGGATGGGCCCTAAATCCAATCAGAGATAGAAGAGAGCACACAGAGAAGGCCATGCAATGATGGAGGTATAACCCAGAGTGATGCAGTTACAAGTTAAGGATGGCAGTATTTTCAGGAGCCACCAGGAGCTGGAAGACACAAGGAAGGACCCTCCCTTAGAGCCTTCAGAGGGAGCCCAGCCCTACCGACACCTTGATGTTGGACTTCCAGCCTCCAGAATGGGGAGAGAATACATTTCTGTTTTTTAAGCCACCGAATCTGTGGTAGTTTGTTATGGCTGTGCACTTGGGGTTCATCTTGAATAGGGTTCCAGGGCAAATAGCAATGTAATCATCTTTCTGTCACATCTCATACTCTAGGATCTATTTTTCATTGTTGTCAGATGGATCCATATTTATCCTTTTGAAAGGTTAGACACCATATGTTCCTACCTGATTTAAACCCCAATGTTTAAATCAGATAAGGCCTGTTTTCACCGAGAGCAGGCTGGGCACTCCAATGGTGTTTAGGACCCATTTACTTATGCATCCACTTATTCATTCCACAAATATGTCAGCATTGTCTGTGTGCCAGGTCCTGACTGAACTTGGCCTAGTGGTTCATAGGGAACCAGGCTCTTAATATTGCCCCATAAAGAGCTCCCCTTCAGTTTCATTCAACAAGTCTCTATGGTGCTACAGTGTGAAAGGAGCTGGAATAAAGCGAGGGAGAGGACAAAGGTTGGAGAAGGCTCCACAGAGGAAACAAAGGCCTGGGGAGGCAGGGAAAGGCATCATAGCAGAGGGAATAGCATATGCAAAGGCACAGAGGCATGGACATGCAAAGCATGTTGGAGCGAGGCCCAGGGTGTCAGACATCCTAAGAAGGACAACGTGTTGGAGTAAAACCTGTCACAGTCCTTGTCCTCTGGGACGTTATTGTTTTTTCACAGGTGGCAAAAGTAAATTCAGCTTTATTGGGATCTTTGGGTTTAAAGATGTGGATCCTGGGGACTTTCTGTTGTTCACCAGAGAGAGTGGATGCAGAAGAGGCAGGGTCACAACAAAGAGGCCACCTGGAGGGGACACCGGAGGCTCCAGGTCAGGGGGTTCACCTTCAGAGCCACCACTGCTCATGGGGAGAGCGTCGGAAGGGTCTGAACGGGGTGGGGCCAGCATGCCACAACTCCATCCTGCCGGGGCCATGCTGCCCTGCCAGAGGATGGCCACGCCTCGGTCAGGGAATGGCCTGCTGGCCGGACTTCTCCCAGGATGCCTGCTGGGAGCCAGGTCCAGGCTGTGAGAGGTTTCCAGGGCCCCGCTTGCCACTCGCCCCCCTGCAGCTTCTGCCGTCTGTCACTATTGCTCTGTCAGGCTCCTGTCCTGTCACGGTTTATGTTGGGACGGGGTGTTTGATATTTTCATTAGTGTGTTTTCTTGCTTAGACCTTGCTCTGCTTCATTCCCCCCTTTCCTTGTTGCCTGTTGAAATGATTCATCAGGAGAGTTGACATTTTTTAACTTAAAATGTTTTAGTTTAACTGCTGCCGGCTAAATATATTTTGACCTCAGCTCTGTCCTGCGGCTCTCTGCTCAGCTGGGGAGACCAAGGAAGCCTGGTGCCAAAAGCTTCTCTCTTTTTTTTGGACTGAATCCTCCTCAGCAGATCGGAAAGGATGCTGCGTGTCCTGAGGGTTGTTTTGCAACGAGTTCAGATAGGGGCTTGGCCAGTGGGATGCCCAGCTGTGTGAATGTACCTGCCGCAGAGGTGTCTTATCTGATTCCCGAAGCTGGCCAGCCACGTGTCCAAAAGGGTCTGGCCCTGGCGCCATCTTTCTTTATAGAACCCAGTGGGCAATTTACAGAGTTGTTCTGTGCCCCAGGGAGACTTGAACGAGCTCCAAGGAGCCACTAAGGCTGGCAGCTTATTAAGTACTGGACCTCCGTACGGAGGGAGAGACAGTGTGTTAGCAAGTCTCTGACGGAAGGATTTTTGGAGATCCCAGAAGGAGTTCAATGACAGCAAGAGTCCCACTTTTTTAAAAAAATGTTTTTTTAAAAAATGCAAATTTTCATTGATTTCAGAGAGGAAGGGAGAGGGGAGATAGAAACATCGATGAGAAACATGGATCGGCTGCCTCCTGCACACCCCCTACTGGGGATTGAGTGTGCAACCTGGGCATGTGCCCTGACTGGGAATCAAAGCATCAATCTCTTGGTTCATGGGTTGACTCTCAACCACTGAGGCACACATGCCAGGCTAGAGTCCCACTTTAAACAAAAATGTATTTTTTAAATTGATTTCAGAGAGGAAGGATGAGGGAGATAGAAACATCAATGAGAGAGAAACATCAATCAGCTGCCTCCTGCACGCCCGACACTGGGGATCAAGCCTGAAACCTGGGCATATGCCCCGACTGGGAGTCGACTTGCAACCTCCTGTTCATAGGTTGACGCTCAATCTTTGAGCTACACTGCTGGGCAAGAGTCACGCTTTTAATGTGGGGCAAGTAGGATCCTTTATAGACAAAACTCTTTTTACCCTCCAGGCTTGAGCAAGGCAGGCCATGACTCTTAGTCCCCCACCCAGACTCACCAAACTCAGTTCAGGATGGTAAAGGGACAGAAAAGAGAGGACAGGATCAAATCTGAGCAGAGGGTCTGGGCTGCTTCAACTGGTGCCTTCATACACGACTCTTTGTAGATCCAGTCTCGATATTCATTGACTAATTATTAATCCACTCATCATATACTTTTTGAAAATCTATATGTATGTAGCTAATACTGAGACTAGCCCTGGGAATGCAGAGAAAAGGGAAGATGTAACGGTCTAGAGCAATGGTTCTCAACCTTGGCTGCACATTAGAATCACCTGGGAATCTTTGTAAAATCCTGATTTCTGGGCCTCATCCTCCGGAAATTCTGTTTCTTTGTTACTAATGTTGTGACCCCACCCCATAACAAAGAAACAGAATTTCCAGAAGATGAGGCCCAGAAATCAGGATTTTACAAAGATTCCCAGGTGATTCTAATGTGCAGCTAAGGTTGAGAACCACTGGTCTAGAGGAAAACACAGTAATTATAAATAGGTTAAGAGTCTCAAAGATAAAAATACAGAAAGTAGCCCTAGCTGCTTTGGCTGGGTGGATAGAGCGTCAGCCTGCAGATCAAAGGGTCCCAGGTTCAATTCCAGTCAAGGACACGTACCTTGGTTGCAGGCTCCTCCCCAGCCTGGGCCCTGGTTGTGGTTCATGCAGGAGGCAACCAATTGATGTGTTTCTCTCACATCGGTGCTTCTCTCTGTCTTTCCCTCTCTCTTCCGCTCTCCCTAAAAATCAATGGGAAAATTATCCTCGGGTGAAGATTAAAAAAAAAAAAATACAGAAAGTATAGGAGACAATGGGAACATTTAATGAGAGAGCTGACCCAGGCTGGGGTGTGTGGGGTTGGGGAGGGGGAGGGGAGGGTACACGAAAGGCCTCCTTGATTCAGTGACTTTTACCAAATCTGGTGTGTAAGGAATAAATTGAAATTAGGTGAGGTGAAGAGGTGAGAGAGGTGTGTATTAGGCAGGGGCAACTGCAAGTGCAAAGTCCCTCAGACAAGAAAGAGGGGGCAGAAATAATAAAGATCTCTTGAGCAAGGGTCAGGGGAGGCTTCTATCACACATGGAAAGTCCAGAGCATGGGCCTGTGGTGCCAGACTCAGGGCAGCAAGACTCGTTCCAGGTGCTCCCATAGGTGGGGAGAGGACTTTGCGTATACCGCTGGGCTGGGACAGGGCTGGCTGTGACAGGATGGGGAGGGACCCGCGTATGAAGGTCTTCAGTGCCCACAGATGAGCAGTGAGGTGGTTTTGACTCCACCTTATAATGACCTAGGATGCTTTTCAAAACTACAGAGCTCTGGGCCCCGCCTCTGAGAATCCCCATCTGTCCCTCTCCACTGGGGATCAGTCCCATGTTCAAACATCTTCCAGGTGATTGTAATGTGCCTCCAGCTTCCACTTATTCCTGTGCCCGGGACTGGGCCCAGTGTGGGAGGCACTTTGAGATAAAGAAGGCCACAGGGAAAGTCAGCCCCAGCACTGGGAGGGCAATAATTGCTGTAATCTCTGAAGGAATTTGTTGGCTTTCCTCAGAAGAGCAATTCTCATAACATTTACCAAAATGAAAATCCTGATTAATTCTGCAGGTTTATAGCTCCCCAGAGGCTGGGGAAAAAACATCTCTTGGCAACAGAAGCAAACTTTATTCTGGCAGCACAGACAATGCTGCGAACACCAGATACGGAGCTGCACATACTTTCTGGAATTCCAACGCACCGCATCCCTGGTCTCAGGGACACTCGGCCATGGCCACTGCTCCTGCTGCCACTCAGACCAAGGGCTCTTCGCCCTTCTGTTCCCAGTCTCCATGGTGTTCGGGCAGATGTGGCTTTTGTCAGCCCAGCATATCTTCCTTTGGGGAACCACTCCTATGCCATTAAGTGCCGTTCAGATAGGTTGTCCACGATCATTAACCCCACCTCTGCCTGTAGGGACGCCATCCAGGACTAGCCAGTTATGGTAGTATGATCCCAAGAGGTTGCATGGAACTCAATAAGGGCCAAACAGGATTGTTTACTTCTTTTTAGGGTTAATATATGGATAATGGTAAAGTCTCTCCTGAAGATGCTAAGCTAGAGAATGTGAGTCTGGATTTGTCCTCACACGGTGTGGAGAACAAAGCCAGAGAGAGAGAGAGAGAGAGAGAGAGTATTTTGCCAACAATAGGCCTGGTTCCAGGCCTCCAGCTCTGGAACTTTGGGTCTTGTGAGCTCTGGCTGCACCTGTTTAGGGTCAAGCTTTTTGGAGTAGGGTTCTGTCTCTTGCAACAAGAACGTCTGGACTAACACAGCCGGTTTTTTGGTTTCTCATCGACCTCAGGAGAAGGTGGAGGCGTGGGGAATGCACTGGAGAGTGAGGCAGGCGTGGTCAAAGAGTTTGTGAGGCAGCTGTCCCTGCGAGGTCCAGGTGTCTGTCTCGGGGTCGTAGCAGTCAAAGGAGGCCGAGTCCTCGATGTGGCAGTCCGTGGTCAGCCGCCGGCCGCCCGTCACGTAGAGCTTGTTGCCCATCACCGCGGCCCCGTGGTGCATCCTCCGGTCTTTCATGTCCGCACATTTGACAAACTTGTTGGACTGAGGGTCATAAGCCAGAATCCTCCTTGTGTAACCTGAAAGCCAAGTGGAATGGCAGCAAGGTCAGCATTGCTCATTTGGGAGTGGAGGTCAGTGGTCTGGGTACGAGTCTGATCTCTGCCCTCGCCTAACACTGAGGCTGGAATCTGAACTACAGCGTGGCACGTTAACCGGTAACCTGCCCAGGGTTAAGTGTGCAGCAGGGATGGGGTTTGGCCCCTGCATCCCTAACCCCAGGTTAAGGCGGCACATGGCCCGTTTTCGATGGGGAGCTGCCTCCTGACTCCAGTGCCTTTCTCAGCCTCACTGGCTTCTTCATCCCGCTCACATGCCCACCCCAGAGCTACAACAATCCAAAGAAGGAGCCTTTGGGAACTCATGGGTCCCCACAACAGCCTTATCGGGTGGGGCCCTCTGAGGATCTCCATTTTACAGATGAGCAAACTGAGGCACAACAGAGTAATCACTTGCTGAAGAGCATCCAGCCAGGGAGTGGCAGAGGCAGGATGTGAACCCAGATCTGTCGGACCCCCAAACCGGTCCTCTTAACCACGACACTACACTGTGACTACAGAGGGATGATCCATCAGTAGCTAATGTTAACAAGAGTAAACGTGTTTTGAGTACTTGCCACGTGTCTGGGACCACGCCATGTGCTTTCAATACATGAGTATGTTTTATTATCACAACAACTCTGTGAAATAAGGCATTATTTCATTCCTGTTTACAGAAAATGACAGGGAGAAACTTCTGGAGGGGAAAAGAACTTTGTCAAGTTGTCCACACTCCCTCAGCCAGAGGGATGTGATTTTACAAAGACAGTCTTGTGGAACAACGTCCACCTATTAGTGACCCTTTTTCCATGGGAGATGCCAAGTTATGCCCAGCCTGGCGATCCTCTGCTCAAACTCACCTCCCACGATGACAATCCGCTCCCCAAGCACCACTGCAGGGGCACACACGTTCTTGATCATTCTCGTCTCCATTTTGAACCACGTGTTTCTGGAAATGTGATAAACCTGAGGGGGAGATAGAATCATGGCTCTGTATTTTAAAGTGATATTTTCAAAAGACAGAAGTAGTAACTAAGCCCCGGAAGGTGTGGCTCAGTTGGTTGAGCATCTTCCCATGCACCGAGGCGTTCAATTCCCTGTCAGGGCACATGCCTGGTTTGTGGGCCCAATCCCCAATGGGGTGTGTATAGGAGGCAACCGATCGATGATTGATGTTTCTCTCTCCATCACTGTTTCTCTCTCCCTCTCCTTTCCTCTCTCTCTAAAACCAGTAAAAACACATTTAAAAAAACATGGTCCTCTTTAAAAAGTAGTAATGAAAGGGTGAAATGGGAGAGATTTTTCCAATTTTTAGAATTTTTAGTAGGTATATTACTATCAATAAAAAATATAATTAAATAACAGAAAGAAGAATATTACTAGAAATTGGTCTTTATGTGACCGCCATGAGATCAGAGGCTGTGTTTCTATAAAATGGACCCAGAGTTATGCATTGTAGTATGTGTTTGCTTCCCTTGCTCGGGACAATTTTTTCTTTTAATGAGAAATGGAGCAACTTGGATGGTCATGAAACCAGTGCTTTTTCGGTTATTTTCATTTCTAGCTCCTGGTTAAATGTCTAATTGGTCCAGTGTATCCAAGATTGTCTTCAGCCAAGAGCAAGTCTGGGGCTACGTGAGGAAGGCTCTTGGACAGCTCATGCTTGAGAGTCATTAGAACCATAGACAACACGGAGCACGAGGAAAGGCAAACAGAGCACAGAGATGGGCTGCACTCGGAAACAGAGCCAATCAGGATCCCCAGAACTTGTTTTCCTGGTAATTTTCTCATTTTAAAGTTCAAATATCAAATGTAAATTAGTTCATTACTGGCAGAATTTAGCACAAGAGAGATAGGATGGACTTCATATAAGGAAAAAAGGAACAAAAGTACTCATTTATAGAGGAAAATGGCCCAGTATTATTCACTGGGAATTCTTTCTGTGTAAAATACAATCGCCATCATATAAAGGCCTTATTATTTTTTAAAAATCAGTTTACCAAATTTTATCATCACAACCATCCAATGAAGTAGGTAGTATTACTAACCCCCATTTTTCAGATTAGACATTGAGGTTCAGAGAGGTTAAGTGACATTCCCAAAGTCACACAGCTAGAGTGAGAAGAGGAGCTGGTCTGGTTGAGTCCAGAGTCCATGTTCTTCACCTTTACATTCATGGTTGTATATGATGTACCTTTGTTTATATGAACCTTACACAAAATAATTCATAAATGGATAAAATCTTGTTGAAATTAAACTTCCTTCCTCCCTCTCTTTCTTTCTTCTTTTCCTTCTCCCCCCAACTTCCCTGCAGATGACAAGTGTGTATGTGTGTGTTATGCGAGTATTTATATGTGTGTGTGTTTGTGTTTGTGTGTGCATGTGGCGAGGGTACACACTTATGCACTTACATGATGAGAAGGACCAGCCATTTACCTGGATAAGGCGCACAGGGTTCTGCATAATGTCCTCTCCCCCAAAAAGGTAGAGTCTTTGGTCTTTCACAGCAACTGCAGGGTGCAGAACCCCCACTGGCATGCTGGCCATATTCTCCCAGGCGTTGCAGATGCTGTCATATCTCTCCATGGAGCCCAAGACCTCCTGCCCTTCTCCAATCCCCCCGATGGAGAAGATGAAGTTCTTATGGGAGGTGCTTCTGTGGGAGTAGCGAGCCGCCAGCATGGGCTGTCCCAGCCTCCACTGGTTGAGTTTCAGGGAGAAGATGTAGACATGGCGACTGGGCTCACTCTTCTCTGTGCCCACGGCCATGCCTCCCAGCACATAGACGCTGCGGTGCAAGGCCACGGCTGCGGCCTTGTAGAGCCGGGCGGGGAGTTTGGCGAGGCTCCGCCATTGGCCTGTCTGTCTGTGGTACAGCAGAACGTCCCTGGTGGTCTGCTGGTTGTCCTTCCTCCCACCCAAGAGGATGAGGAAGTCTTGGTAAGAGTTCCTTGGGGGCACGTGCCACGGAGGTTGGAGGTCTGGGACACCGGTGGTGCCATACAAAGAACACATTTGCCTCCTGGCCATCTCCAAGATGACCTGGCATGAGGGCGAGGACTGAAGGAGGGCGTCGTTGGCGATGAAGTGGTGGAAGAAGGCCGGGTGGATGTACGGAAGCCTGACGAGCTTGAACAGTTCCTGCATGTGTCGCTTCCGGGTCTGGAGGTCATGCTTGACCCAACCCATGAAGGCCTCAAACACCTTTTCCTCCTCCCCGCACAGCCCGTCGTCCCCCAGGTAGTCTCTCAACTCCAAGGCGCAGAGCTCCTTCAGGTCCGCGGATGCGGCCACCTCTGGGAAGTATGTCAGGGCCACCTGCCTGGCCGTCTTCCTGAGGGTCTCGCAGCTGAGGATCTCCGAGAGCCTGATCATGCCCAGGCAGTTGCTGGGGGTCAGCTGGCTCTGCAGGTAGGAGGAGCAGGCCTCAAAGAGCTTGGGGTACTGCAGCATGGAGGCCGCCTCCAGCAAGGGCAGGACGCTCTCGGCCGTGATGGGCACCTCCCCGGTGTACACATACAGGACCAGCTGCTCCAGGGTCGTGGCGTCGATGCCTCTCAGCTGGACCTTGGCCTCCCCGCGCTCCCGGAAGTTGCTGCAGAACATGGCCCGGAAGTAGGGGCTGCTGGAGGCCAGCACGTTTCGGTGGCAGGGGACCTCCCAGGCCCCAACACAGATGATTACATCCGTCAGGATCCTGCTTTGTCTTAAGCCATTGAGCTGCCTCAACAAGTCAGAGGAGAAGTCGTGGTCTTTGAAGAGCAGCCCATCTGCTGACTCCTTGTCCATCCTGCAAAGAAGTGGGGTGAAGGGGAGTTCCAAGAGGGAGCACGTACAGGAGGGTTTAGCTGTCACAGCTCGGAGACTTAGAGCATCTGTGTCCACTCACCAGTGCGTATGGGTATCGCCAAGAATATCGCTTAGTGAAGATTGCAGAGGGAGGCCACCCACGCTCCAGACCCCACAGCCGACACCTCTCGTTTTGGTTAGGATTGCTCTGAAAGGTAACAGGCAAATAACATCTTCCTTCAGATAATCTGAGAAAAAACAAGCAAACAAAAACAACGAAGGTTGTAGGAAGGTACTGATTGCCGGGGTCTGAAATGTTAGCCGGAAGCAAAATAAACAGCTCGTGCACTTGACCAGCGGAAGTCTGTGAGCCTTTCTCCAGATTCTCAGCCTTCTGTTATTTAGTGAACTCATCTCTGCATCTTTCTGGGTGTTAGTTATGCCCCACGCTAGTCATTCTGAGGGGGCGTGGCCCTCTGGTAACCAGACAGAAACAGGGATGAAAAGGGACTTTTGCAATACATTTATTGAAACATGACTTCACAAATTCGTTAGGGTTTTGTTTTAAAGATGGGATAAATAGAAAGCAGAGCCCCAATAATACCCTGGGCAGGGTGTATTGCTCGACACCTGGCAGTCCACCTGCAGAAGAGGGAAACATTAGAGACATTTACCTTGTTTGGCTGCAGTGATAGCCACCGATGCCTGGTCCGACTGGTCCCGCCGGAGTTTCCACCTCTGGCTCCAAGTGAAACCATAAACCTGGGCCTTTCCTTCAGTTGACAAATGGTTGGTCCTGGGAGAGTTCTGGATTTGTTTATGCTAAAGGCGCTTTCACAGTTTTCTAGAGCTTTGTGACACAGCTGCTGGGCAGGGAGACGGTGTATACATTCCAGAGCTAAGAATAGCTGCATATGTATTTTCCACTGTTGGGACATGTGACTTTCCAGTTGCCTTTTGCAGCAGCCCCAGGGCTGGCAGGGCCGCGCATGCCCACATGCCTTGTTTCCTTGGCAAGTGTTTACATCGGCATAAATAGATCTGAAGGGACGGCTTCTCTCAGAGAAGACTCTGCTGCCTGCTTGGAAACATCCTGAAGTGCCTGGGAATTCTAGATGTTTGTAAACAGGTTGCTGGGGCCTGGGATAGTTACTGACCATAGTTCTGGGCACGTGGAAGGTAGTGGATGATCACAAGGGAAGCCAGAATGTGGGGTGCTGTTTAATGGGTTTCTGTTTCCACCGGAGTGGCAGGATCATTGGTGAGGGCTGTGATTGTCTCCTCCAGGCTCTGAGATGATGGGACCCATGACAAAAGCTGTTTTGAATATGTGTGAAGCATCCCAGGGGTTCCAGACTCTGGGAGACCAAACCTTTGTTGCTCTCCCGACCCTAGAGGCTTCTGTCTTCAAGTGGTGAGGGCAGCTGTGCTCTCTGCATCATACTGCCTCTCCCAGACACGAGCGATTGTTCTTCAGTTATTCTTTTTATAGGTCTGGCTTGCTTTTCTGTTTTACTTTTCTTTTTTTCTCCTTTTAGAAAGGCTTGAGCTAGAGGCAGGAGGCAAGGTTTATTGCTCTAGGCTGTTCCAGACAGAGAGAGAAAGAGGGAGGGGAAGAGAGAGATGGAGGTGGGGAGAGTGAGAAGCAGCAGCAGAGGGAGATGGGGATGGGTGTGGAGAGAGAGAAAGAGAGAAAGAATGGAGGAGGAGGGAGAAAGAGCAGGGGGCGGAAGAGAGGGTGGCAGGGAGGGAGGGAGGGAAGGAGAGGTGAAGGGAGAAGAAGGGAAGCAGGAAGAGGAGAATGATGAGGTGATGGAGTAAGCGTTAGTCATCAAATGTAAGAATCAGAACCATGATGGAAGGTTATAGAGCCACCAGGACGAGTAAAAAGGACCTAGGTCTCTCCTGCTCCCATGTCCAGAGAGTTCCTGATTGGGGATACCAGCAGCTGGTGGCAGGGAAGCCCATCTTTCTCTCCTTGTCGGTCTTGCTTGGACTATTGCAACATCCTCCCAAGCCAAATTTTCCCTTTGTTCCCAGTTTCTCTCCCTCCAATACACCCTCTCTGTCACCGCCAGCGTAACCCTGGAGAAGGCAAACCAGAGCCTGCCGGTCCCCTACACCATGCCCTTCAATGGCTCCTATGTCTGCAGGAGGAAGTCCAGACTGTCTAGCAGGAAACAGAGTGGCCTCCTGATACGTCCCACTTCAATTTTTTATGCTAGCTCCATCAGACAACTCGCAGATGCTTGTATGTGTCCGGTCCTCGTTGGGAAGGCTGGACTGACCTCGCCTGTAGGACACCCCAGGGCAGGAGGGAAGGAGTATCTTTCATTCATAGTTGCATGGATCAACCCCAAAGAGTCCAGAAGGTCAATGGCCACCGAGTATATCCTTAACATGTCATTGGGGCCAGGACCTCGGGACCAGAATTAGGAGCAGAAGATCTGAGCCTCGGGGGTCAGAGACCTATGGAGACACACCCATTAATTAGAATCCTTTGAGGAAATGGGGCAAGGAGCTGAATGTCCTCATTTATTTTAGGTTCCCATACATTCACCCCAAACTCCCAAAGAAGCACATAAAGTTAAGACAAAAAAAGTCTGCACAGTTTCTCTCCTGGCTGAGTGTGCTGGGCCCGGATTCCTATGGAAGGGCAGGCTGGTTCAGGTCAGCAGCAGGTCTGACAGCTGCAGGCAAGGAGGCCACCGACATGCTCCACCAACGCATGTCCAGGCCCCGTCCTCCTATCGCCATCGGGACAAGATGAAACTTTCACACTAACCAGTGAACCATGGCAGTCGGCCCCAGGGAGCAGTGTTTCAAGAACACGCAGACCTGCACCTACAGGGCTGAGAGCTCCTCAAACACTGGAAGGCTTGTTGTCCTTGTTGTCTTGCGAGAATCTCCCATTCCCGTCCATAGGTGAAGGAGAGGAAGTGGGAGCAGACACATAAGGCCTCAGTGGACTGGATCATGAAAAGCTGTAGGAAGGAACTTGCCTCTTGCTATGTGATTTAAAAACCTGTCTAGGTATGTGAGTTCCTGCCTGCCGGGGTCTGCATCTGTGTGGCTGGGTGTGTTTTTTACCAGCTTGTGCAGAGCTGAGCAAGGAATTTGTACTTCCGACAATGGCCGAAAGGCGGCCTGCTCCTTGATTCTGGTGTTGCCATGACGACTGTGCTCCAGGAACTAAAAGCCTAACCCTGCGTTTACTAGGCCAGTATTGCAAATGACAGCACAATGTCTTCATATTTCCCCCCCTAGGGAGGGTAAGGGAAATACAGACCAACAGAGAGAACAACAGGACTATTCGTGGGCTGTTGGTATATAGCCTGCTGTCAGGCCCCCTTCCTCCCTGAGAACTGCATCCTGACCCGATACATCATTTATGCCACAGATTAGCTTTCTGGGCTCTAAATCAAATTGGGAAGAAAAAAATAATACGATCAAAGATGCATTCTTGCTCTCTCATTTTAACACTGTGAGTCACCAAGAATACACTGCCTTGGCCTCCCTGCTCCCTAGCAGGCACTCCTGGTGGTGAGGTAGGCCTTTAGGCAGGAATATCCTCCCTCCAGCCCACTGAGGCACGATCTGGCAGTTTTATGCTGGAGTATAGAAGGGGATGACCTACAGAGAGGTGTCTGTTGAGAGGGTGAACTTTACTCCCAGATGTAGCATCAATTAGACTCCCTTGGGGAAATGTGAATTGGGCAAGGTAAGGGTCTAATTAACTAAGAGTCCGCCCGTCCGTCCATCCATCCATTGAATAAGACCAGGTCCCTTGCCCTTGTGGTACTTACCATAAGGGAAGTAGGGAAGATAGACAAATAATTTAAGTGTCCTAAGTATTATGAAGGGATGCCTTTCTCAACCTCCTCCTTCCCAAGTCACCCCTGTCCCACCATGAATTCTAAGTCCTCTAGAAAGAGAATCATATACAAGCTCTCATATCAGGCTGAGTTTTAGTCATGTGTTTTCATCTTTCTCTCCTGGATTGTAGCTCCTTGAGGGCAGGAAAAAGTCTACACTCCTGCCCCATGTTAGGAAAGGCAGAGAATGGAATTTGTTGACAGAGATTGACACTGGACACTATTGGCTTACTTTTGCCTTTTCCAGACTGTATATATTTTTACAAGTGGCTTTCTTTTAAGTTTTTATGACACATTTAAAAAAATATATTTTATTGATTTTTTACAGAGAGGAAGGGAGAGGTATAGAGAGTTAGAAGCATCAATGAGAGAGAAACATCGATCAGCTGTCTCCTGCAACACCTCCTATTGGGGATGTGCCCGCAGCCAAGGCATATGCCCTTGGCCGGAATCGAACCTGGGACCTTTCAGTCCGCAGGCCGATGCTCTATCCACTGTGCCAAACCGGTTAGGGCAATGACACATTTGTAATCTATGTTTTCCTAATGATCAAAAATAGAAGTTAAAAAAATATTTTTCAACTTCTTGATAGTTAGGAAACAGATTCTGAAATACTTTTTACTTCTTTCTCCCTGGTTTTTGTAAAGATAACCTGGAATTTGGCTCAGTTTGCTGTCATCAAATCATTTTATATACTGTATCTTATTTTTTAAGAATGACTTTTTGGTTTTGCTATTTGCTTTTGAATCATGTTTACAACGATTATTTAAACTTAGCTCCATACTTGGCTGATTTACATTTGCACTGCCAGTTCTGTTATGCCGCACTTTCCCATTCTTACGTGCTTAACTCTGACGCGTCTTTTGATTAACTGAAGTTCCTTCACTCATAATATTCTTTTTTTGGAAAAATAGGGGAAAGGTGCATTTTTCTGAATCCTTCCTTATCCAAGGTTCTTTTTTCCTACCATCTACAAACAACAGCTTGGCTGGGTACAATAGTTTAGGACAGTGATGGCGAACCTTTTGAGCTCGGCGTGTCAGCATTTTGAAAAACCCTAACTTAACTCTGGTGCCGTGTCACATATAGAAATTTTTTGATATTTGCAACCATAGTAAAACAAAGACTTCTATTTTTGATATTTATTTTA